TAGATTGCCCAGGGAGGTGGTGGAGTCACCATCCCTGGAGGTGTTTCAGAGGTGTCTGGATGTGGCACTGGAGGATATGTTTTAAGGTTTAGGGTTTCCAGCAGTGACAGGTTCATGGTTGGACTCAATGATCTTAGGGATCTCCAACTCTGATGGTTCTATTATTCTATGTGAAACTATAAGCCTGTGTGTGTATGGAACACAATACACTGTTACTTGAAAAATAACCATTTCGTGAGGCCTCACATGATGATTTCAATTAAAACTTCCTAATTTCATACCCAAAGTGTTCACAACTGTGCTCTGCTGGATCTACATTTAATGTACACTGTAGTAGTGTATAACAAAACTCCATTTGTCACCTTCACCCAGCAACTGGAATAGATTGCCCAGGGAGGTGGTGGAGTCACCATCCCTGGAGGTGTTTCAGAGGTGTCTGGATGTGGCACTGGAGGATATGTTTTAAGGTTTAGGGTTTCCAGCAGTGACAGGTTCATGGTTGGACTCAATGATCTTAGAGATCTCCAACTTTGATGGTTCTATTATTCTATGTGAAACTATAAGCCTGTGCGTGTATGGAACAGAATACACTGTTATTTGAAAAATAACCATTTCTTGAGGCCTCACATGACAATGCCAATTAAAAATCCTTAATTTCATGTCCAAAGTGTTCACAACTGTGCTCTGCTGGATCTACATTTAATGTACACTGTAGCAGTGTATAACAAAACTCAATTTGTCATCATCACCCAGCAACTTGAATAGATTGCCAAGGGAGGTGGTGGAGTCACCATCCCTGGAAGTGTTTCAGAGGTGTCTGGATGTGGCACTGGAGGATCTGGTTTAGGGTTTAGGGGTTCCAGCAGTGACAGGTTAATGGTTGGACTCGATGATCTTAGAGATCTCCTCCAACCTTGATGATTCTACTGTGCTCCTAACTTCCTAACTACAATGATCCTAACTGTGTTCCCTGGCTGCAATTTGCAACTGTTAGAAGCCAAATTTTAAAATCTGTCAAGCATTTTCTGCTATCCTTCCCTTCAGGATAAAATCAAATTAAATCTGACTGTAGCATGGAGTTGTATGCACCAAGCAGTAACTTTATTCCTCTGTTACAGAAGATTTCCTAGGTCTGAGAACAAGATCTTTGATAGAGGTAGTGACTTCCTGGAGCTCTTTTCGAATGGCATCTGCTCCTTCCTCCTCTTCCATGTTATCTGTTGTCTCACTGTCTCCATGTTCAGTTTTCTTAGTCTGGCTGATCAATTGTTTCACTACTAATCCCTGGTACTTGACTAAAAGAGAATGCTGATCCTGAGGGCACAAAAAGAGAACAGAACAGTGGTGTCAATGTTACAGAGAAGGTACACATACCTATAACTAAAGATGAAATTTCTAAAAAAGGATTCTCTCATTCTTGCTTAAAGAGGGTTAGTTGTAAATAAATATATTTCCATCAAGGTATTTTCCAACCTGAATTCTGAGAGGCAGAAAAATGCAAGTGCAGCCATGCTGCAAAACCAGGACAACAGCAATGCAATTAGTAAACATCATCAGTTTGGGCAGCATAGGACACAGAATTTGAGTATTTTTGCTTTTGAAGGGCTCTATCTTTCCTTAAAACTGAATTAGAGAAGTTGAAAAGCAACCAGGCTCTAGCTGAGAGGCAAGAGAGTGCAAAAATGTTCAGTTGTAAGAACTGTAACATCCATCCCCAAACAAAGAGCTCTCTGTGCATAAAGGCAAAGTATTAATAACAGATTGATTTTTAATTGGATTTAAGAAATCCCAGAAAGGATAGGTTTAAAATACAGTCCAGATTAGAGGAATTGTATATGCTGTATATAAAGCAATGATTAGACGTGAAACACCACAGTGCCAGGATTATGCAGCAGAAACAGTATAAGGCACAACTTTTATGTCTGTCCTAGAAAAAAGGTAATTTCCCCTCAAAAAGCTAGAACAGAATACCTCTGGGATCTTGCCACTTAGGAAATGAATGATCTGTGGGACTGATCTTCCTGGTGCATGGAGCATACAGTGGGTTGAAAACTGAAATAACAGCACTGATGTCAGGTGCAGAACAAGGGCTGGATCTTCTGTGACTTTGAGCTGTTCAATCAGAGCATGTCTGTGCTGAAACAGGACTTGCCTAAGGAACAGGAACACATTGAACAAACACGATTCTATGGGTCTACCACAGAGCAGTTGATCATAGACTCTCAAACATATCTAACATCAATTAATTTTAATTTTCTCCACTGATTGATATGAAATTCCAAACCAAAACAAACCCAACAAATAGCACAAGTGTAGCTCAGATTTTTAAAGACTCCTAGAGAATTTATACCCTATGTTGTAGCAAGCAGTGAGCCAAGCAAATCAGTTAAATATGAACTCTCCCCAACTCTTTCTCTCATGGAACTAGGACTGCTTAACTTTGCATTTTTCAGTTACACAGTTTGGAAGGGACTGTCTCGTACACTGTGACTGCTACCAAACTAACCATCTAACACTTGTGCAGCAATGCAGCTATATTTCAGAGAATAAATAAGAATAAGGTACCTTTCCTTCTTTTTGTCTCCTTTTTTCACCATAATACCACAAATATCCACTGCAGAATCAAGGCATGAAAGAAAGTCATCTACACTCTATTAAAAAAGGATACAAATATTTAATCTGTGTTAGCAGTTTACCTACTGTTCACAATTAATCACACAAAGAGATGATGGTGAATACATTTGAAATAGACTATAGAAAAAAAAGAGAGAAAGTAACACCTATTTAGTAGAAATTAACTTTGTTCATCTTAAACAGTTCAACCACTCCCTCTTGGGGTGTTCAGGCTCTGGAATAGATTGCCCAGGGAGGTGGTGGAGTCACCATCCCTGGAGGTGTTTGAGTGTCTGGATCTGACACTGGAGGATCTGGGTTAGGGTTTAGAGGTTCCAGCAGTGACAGGTTAATGGTTGGACTTGATGATCTTAGAGGTCTCCTCCAACCTTAATGATTCTATGTTTCTATATACTTAAATACTAACCCAAACTGTAATACATTAGTCTTAAAACTGGGATTTAAAAATGAATACATGTTGTAGAATTATTTACAGATACATCTTTTCTTGAGAAACATATCAGTATGGACTTTTCATAATGGGATTTAAAAATGAATACACGTTGTAGAATTATTTACAGACACATTTTTTCTTAAGAAACATATCAGTATGGACTTTTCATAAAAGAATGAATAACTAATCTTCCTTCGTGCTTACACTGCCACAATTTGAACACCTGTCTTTTTAAAAATATCCATGTTTTGACTAGTTAGGAAATACATGGATGAACAATCAGGAATTTTGGGAACAAAATACATGAAATGTCAACTACTTTAAACTGGAGATTCTCTCTCTGCTTTTACTTTTTTCACCTGCCTATAAAAGACACACAAGATTCCATCTGGAAGCAAAGAACTATCAGTATCAAAACCTAAGATTACCCTTTCACCTCTGAAAATTCACAGATATGAAAATACACTTACTGCCTTACACAAAGTCAGAAGATTATTTTGCCTTCATCCTCAACAGCAGCAGCAGTTCTGTACTACATTATGTCAGCTGTTTATTAGCATTTTATCAGCAGAATGGAAAATTTCAACTTGGATTCTGGATCACTTTACCTTGCCATTCAGGGAATTGTGCAGTTTAGTTAAAGGCCCTTTGGTGTCTTCTGGCAGTTTCCCTAAAATCTTGGCCCTGCCCTGTATGGGACAAGAATAGAAATAATCTGTAATATTAATTACATTTTAGCCATAGACATATTTAAATAGCAACAATTAAGTACTGAACAAACATCACTGATGCACTTGATAAAAAGGAACTGTTATCTGCATACCTCACTTGTGATCGTAGTGTAGTTCTCTGTTGTCATCATTGAATCAGATGCTAAGAGGCTGAAAATCAGGTTGGTAATGTCTGTACACACAGTCTTCAGCAAGTGCTTGGCAAGGTTACTCTGAGTCTCATCTGTTAAAAGAAACAACTGATTAAATCAGCTTATTACAGTTATCTGATTCCCATGGTGTTATCACAAGGACTCTATCAACCTAGGAGAAAGTTATCTGGATACATGAAGCTAACATCCCCCATTTGCTGTCCTTAGGGAACATTCTTCAGTGAAAAATGGGAGTTTTCAGGTCTGTAGGAACATTTTAAGCACTGTCAGTATTTCAAAGGTGTATCTGTATAAACAGTAAACTAGTCCCTGTGCAATCCTCCTGAAACAGTAAGGAATGACCACTGCTAGCCTCCAAGTCAAAAGCATGTACAAGAGAGCAGTTAAACAGAAGAGCAGGCACATGACTTTGACGTTGAAATAGTACAATTTCAAAAAAAAAGAGGCTACAGAATACAAGAACAAAGTCTAATGGGAAATAATTCCATTTATTCCTAAACACAGGAATATCAGGGGGTTTTGCTAGTCTTTCCTTTTGTTAGGAGAGGCTGAGGGAGCTGGGGGTGTTCAGCCTGGAGAAGAGGAGGCTCAAGGGAGACCTTCTCACCCTCTGCAACTCCCTGACAGGAGGTTGGAGTCAGGTGGGGGTTGGTCTCTTCTCCCAGGCAACCAGCAGCAGGACAAGAGGGCACAGACTCCAGCTCTGCCAGGGGAGGGTTAGGTTGGAGATTAGGCAGAGATTTTTTCCAGAGAGAGTGCTCAGGCATTGGAATGTGCTGCCCAGGGAGGTGGTGGATTCACCATCCCTGGAGGTTTTCAAGCTGAGACTGGATGTGGCACTTAGTGCCATGGTCTAATAACCACAGTAGGGTTGGACTTGATGATCTTTGAGGTCTTTTCCAACATGGTTGATTCTATGATTATGTGATTCTATGTTTCTATGATTCTAACATCCTTGAAGGAGCATATTAATTTTTTACATATATATTTTGTACCTGTAAAATGCTTCATTCCCTTTTCAAACAACCGAATGTTGTTGTACAAGTTTGAGAATTCCTCCTGCAAGTCCTTCATAGTCTGTCTTCTGCTAGCTCCAGAGGAAGATGTTGAAGAAGTAAAAACAGAACGCACAACTTCCTGGTAAGTTTTTGTTAAAGGTCTTAGAACAGGAAAGAAAAAAGAAGAAACCATTAAGCAAAGTGTAAAACTGTAGGTTTTTCCAAATACAGCAGCAATAGAGAAAGATATCTCATTACAGAGTAAACTATGGACATGGATGCCACGGAATGGTGAGATAAATAAAAAGCAAATAATGGAAAGCAGAAAAAAAAACCACTAGGAAATTAAAATCTACTTTGGTAACTGCAGATGCAGTACTGTTACAGTGTGCCTGGTATGCAACTGCTTGCCAAGCTTTTAACTCCTAACAACTCCTGAATGGAAACAAGGTGAAAGACAGAAGGATTTCCAGAAGCAATGCTGTTCACAGACTCTCAGGGCTCCATGGACAAACTTCAGGCCCTTCTCAAGATGCAGCAACTACTGCACTCCAAGTTTATCAAGCTTGGCTGTTACAGTTTCACCATGTCCCTACATATATATTCACAACCAGTCTGGCACGGAACATCTTTGAAAAGAATTGATTCACCTTTGCATAGATCAGTTTGCTGACTTAGCTTACTACCCAGTTCACATGGGAACCAGCAGAGCCACAGATGGCAGGAAACTCAAACATATACCAAAGGCTGCACAGAAGATGGGACTAGTGAAACCCCAACATGGATCAGTGTAAGGGGGTGGAAATGCACCCAGGAAGCTGAAAATAAGCTTTGCTGACAAAGGACACAGAATCACCAACTGCTAAGCAGCATTATTTCTCATTACTGTGTCAGCATGACTTTCTAATACATAAAAAGTATGTGACATGGAGCTGTAGAGAAAAAGAATATTGGGGTTCACTTCTATCAACAAAGCACTTCTTTCTAAGCAAGAAAACAGACCAAAGATTCATCTGAAGTGAATCACAAAACTTCTAACTCCAGTTGGGTTATTATATATAAATTACCTTA